TTTTGTGAAACACCTTCAAATGACCTCAATCTGCCATACCGTGTTGTTTTTGTGTTTGCTGCATGTGTCGCCTGTTTTTGTTCGGTTTCTTTTCTTTCATTTGACTTCTAAACGTCGTGACTGTCTGCCAGAGCCGCTGAACCGACTTCTGAGGGGGAGCTTAATCTATGTAAATCTTTTGGCTGCTTGTTTGTCAAGTGGTTGATCAGAGACGGTTCACAGTCGGCGTCGAAAGAGGGCTTTGAGAGCCCTCGTGCTTTTTCAAGTAGACTTGGCTCGCCATGCATTGGAGAACCCACCGCCCCTGTGGATGTTTGATTCTGTGGTTGAACTCCAGTGTGCAAACAGGTGACGAGTCTGACAAGTGTCTTTTTTTGTTGGGCTGAGCTCGTGCACCTGGGTTTGTCTGTGTGAGCCGAGAGAGACGCGCTGTTTAGACCAGCTGATGTGTCTGTGAGTGGAAGCCGTACAGCTGCTCAGAAAATAAGGAAGGCTGCTCAGAGCTGTGTGTGTTTTTGTCTCTGTGTTTCGGTACAGTCTTGCATTTTGGGTAAACAAGTATGCATAATTTATAGTAACTGTATCGCCCTTTTTCGGAGCTTTGCTGCAGTATTATTGCAAACATTAGTTATCACTGCTTCATAAAAGCTCTTAAAATGTGTTTTTTTTCCCTCATGGGGATAAAAAGTAATTTTCTCTCCCCAGTTGACTTAACTGTACAAGTTTACTAACTGAAATAATACACTTTTTACACTCTTTGACAAAACCATGCAGTCCTTTAACTCCTCCTGTTCCAGACACCCATCAAGCATATCATGTTACAAAACCAAGAGATCCTCGGTTTCTTCTGTACAAGAGGAGGAAGTGCACGCCTGCAGCCTGTTATCAATCGAGCCCCAGTGGTTGGCGCTGGATCACGTTTGGTCTTTGATAGCTCCGAGGATCTGGCAGCTGAACACCCCCCATCTCCTTCGCTTCTCGCTTTGGTCTCGCCTCCTTTCCGACCTCATCATCTGGCTGATAATTGTTCCTATAGTTATGGGTTTAATGTGTGTGTGTGTGTGTGTGTGTGTTTGTGTTCATAAATGAAAGCAGCAGCAGACGCCATGGCTTCCGGTTCAGTCCACACAGTCACCTCTGTATTTGGCGTTTATTCAGACATCTTTCCTCAAACTATTGTTATCCGATCCTTTCTTTGTTTGCTGTGGTTACATGGAGCTCCACAGATCAGTGCTTTGTCACAGAGTGAATCATGAATGAACTGCGGAGTGCTCAATGTGAACAGGAGTCAGCTGTTCAATGTGACGTATCATGGTGTCAATGAATGATGCAAGCGGAGATGCGGTTCAGAATAAAACACAGAAAACTAAGAACTGGAAACTGAATCACTCTCCTGCCACTCCCACAGCTCTGTGTCTCTGTGTGCATATTCAAACAACTGGATACATCTCTAAAAATAACTATGAGGGACAGATATCAAGTTCTAATCCATGCAATAATCGTCATTTAACTTCATAAAAATCTAACGCTTACGGGAAAAAAGATTTGCAATTTTTAAAATGCAACAAACTCACGACTTAGTACAATACATTTAGTTTTAAAATCATTGCTCCGTGATCATGTAACAATTACAGATTTTTTGGTATAACATTTTTATTTCAAATATTTCTTGGCCTAAACAGTTATAGCAACATGTGACAGTATTTCCAATATTATACTCAACATAATCAGTATTCACATTCATGTAGAAACTTCAATTATGAGGGAATGCCTGCTTTGCTTTTTTGCATTTTGTATGGGCATTGTAAAGGAGATCCAGGACAGTGGATAGAGTCAGAAATCGGGAGAGAGTGAAGGATCCACAGGTCGGATTGTCTGTCTCCCCCCCCCCCCCCCCTGGAGGACGACAGCCTCTGTACATGGGGGTCCCCTGTATGGACATTGTAAATGTTAAGTTTAGCTTGATGCTAAGAGCTAATACTAAATGTTATTCTGGTTAATTAAACAGTGAAGTTACCTGGACTCAATGAAGGTAAAGGATTAGTTTTGAGGTGTAAAAACTGATGGACCCTTGAACCCGACCTGCAGACCTACCTGTAGCAGCACACGTGCATGCTCACAAAGAAAACACAAATGTTCCGATCGTTTTAATGCCATCGCTGTAACACATGGCAGTGTTGGGCGGAAATAATGACATGTGGCTGAGAGAGCTGCTGATGTGAACCAGATGAGGAGCTCTGACATAAAAAGAGAGCGAGAGGAAAGAGAGCAGAACTGGACAAACTGTGAAACGACAACATAGCACACACAGCAGCGAGGACTGTTTGTCTTTGACGTTGACATCAAATCATCCGTATACACGAGATACTACTTCATCATAACAATGGCAACACTGTCGTTCTTCTCTTTGGGAAAGTTTCTCCCCTTTCTTCTTTTATTTACTGCACAGGTGCATTAAAAAACCTGTGGGGGCTTAATGCACAGAGCAGCGCTGGACACAGAAACAAGCTTTTTATTTATATGATGTTCTTGGAAACTAAGTAGATCCTTTTTTATGGCAGCGGTGTTGCAGCGGGCTTGGCCCCGGGCCCGTGTGTGAGGCCTAGTTCAGCACCACTCTGCTCTGGCTCGGCCACAAAGTGCATTTCTCTCGCTCTCTCTCTCAGGCAGCCCCTGACCTCCTGACGCATTTCCTGACCCAGGAAATAGAATTAACACCTCGGCCTGGGTTTTTGGGGTCCCACAGACTCATAACACAGCTGTCCATTAGCCGGGCCCAGTCCAGTCAGAACAAGCGAGCAAGAGCTGCGCTGCAACTGAACCAGAGATGGAAACGGGAAGCAGGAGATTGGCTTTGGAGCTGGGAGAGAGCCGAGCCCATCGCCTGTTTTAATGCCTTCCAGTGCTTTAATGGTTCAAGTGCCTCTGCAATTTAAGCAGAAACTGGAGCCAAATAAGGAGTATTGTTTATCCCCGCTTTGAGAGGTTCAGTGTTCTTCATTAACTCCACTCTATGGCTGCTGAGGGGTTCGACAATCACAAAATCACTGACCGATTGAACTACAGAGTTGCTATTTCTAACTTTAGATTGTGGTTATTGAGCATTAAAGTTGTCTAGCAAACATTTTTAATTGGAGTATAATTCAAACCAGAAAAACACACTAAATAAAGCATTTTAAAACAACATTTACTTATTCAAAGCATGTCCAAGGGGGCTGCAAGCTGAGCTGCCACTTAAATGGTCTCAGCTGGTTTCTGTGAATTCACTTTTTTAAGTTATGATTACCCAGTGTTCACGGTTCAAAGACCAGACGGGGCGCGCTGGTGGCGCAATGGTTAGGGCACGCGTCCCATGTATTGAGACCCTCAAGCGGCAGGCCCGGGTTCGCTTCCACCCGTGGCCCCCTTCCGCATGTCATTCCCTCTCTTTCTCTCTCTCCCTGGTTTCCGACTCTATCCACTGTCCTCTCTTTGCATTAAAGGCACGAAAAGCCCGAAAAAAAATCTTAAAAAAAAAAAAAAGACAAGTAAAACACTCAGAAAGCAGTTTCAGGTCTCTGCAACACTCCTGGTGGACATAGGATGTCCGACGAGGAGGGCTGCCAGCTGAGCTGCCATTTAAGTCTGATTATTGACATCATGTAAGCATTTGCAGTTAAAGATATTTCCACGTCTGGGTCACAAGTTGACCTAGTGGTTAGTTTGAAAGCTCCATGTACAAAGGCTGTTGTCCTCAAAGCAGGCGGCTCGGTTTTGAGTCGGACCTGTGGCTTCTTTCCACCATATCATTCTCTCCCTCTCTTTGAGTGCATTTCCAAAGTGAATGCTTGTTAACGCTGTAGATATTTCCGTATTTGAAACTCGTCTCCAGGTCCCACTCGGTGTTGTAACATATCTTGTTCATCCAAAGTTAACGGTGCAGCCCGCTCTAATGATCCTTAAAATACAAATCTATACCATTGAAATTCTGCGCCTTCCTCCAGAGGTTTTTAATATTATGGTGGCTTTCAGATTTTCAAATGTGCGATATATCTGGGTCTGGGGTTTTAAAAAAGAGAAAAGTGGATTATCTGTTTATTAGATATTTAATGTGGACCATATATCTGAAGATATGGATCTAGATATGCTGTAGTTTAAGTGCTTTATCTGGTTTCTTCATTAGTCAAAGGCTCTTATGCTGGCAAGCACACACATCTATGTGCAATTGCTCACTTACACACACTATTACACACACACACACACACACACAGATTAGCCAGTTCCTGCTTTTAAGCACCCCATGTGTTTGCATTTTAGTCACACATTGCCAATCTCATGGGAGCACTTTGAAGGGACTCCTCCAGAGCAGATCATAAAACGGGAGTGTAAGTAGTTTTTCAAATAGTTGTATCCCAGAACGCCCCCAACAACCTCCACCTCCACCTCCCACCCAACAGCTCCGCGCTCCACCTTCCACCTCCAGTCCATATACTCCACAAGCAAAAGGGTGAAAACTTGGCTCAGAGATTTTCTACGCTCCCCACTTTATGTTTCTCTCCAGATGTTGCCGGAAAAGATTCACAGAGACAGCTAAGGTGGAAGTCATGTGGTCTCAATAAATTCACACGGTTTATGTATATTTCTGTGAACACCGGGGAGTGTGAAGGCAAAGATTAAAAAAAGAAAATAACATGCTGTCTTTTTCTTTTCCATCCACTCCTTTATGATTGTTTGCATCTTCTCGATGAGTGCTATAAAACATTTGGTTGTGTGCTTTCTTGTAGCCAACTTTAGCACGTCAGAATTGCTGAAATGTTGCATTTACTCCCACCACATCTGTGCCTTCTGAGTTGTCGTGCAGAAGATGTGCAAAAAAAACAACAGCAGCATCTGCAGCGTTGTCTGCTCAGACACAGAATTAGATATTATCACTGCTCTATGGTGAAGTGTTAGCATCTTGAAGATGAACATGTTGGGGGTTGTGCATTAAAACATGTTTTTTTTCTTTTTTGTCTCCACAGTACTTTGAGGTGCCATTCGACTCCAACATGAACCGGACAAAGAACCGTCCACTCGTCAGAGGACAAATCAGGTACCTGCGTTTTAGTATTTGTGGGTGTTTCGGAGAAGCCAGACTATTTTCACAGTGGTTGCATTTTAAAAAGACAGTAAAGGGTGACTAGACAATGACTGAGAGGAGAGTGACACGACAGCTCAGCGTGAGTCGGTGTTCAGCTCAGTGCAGAAGCAGCTAAGCATCTCTACATGACAGCCAACGAGTCTCCAAAGCTGCCCTTTTTTTTTTTTTTGTACAATTCATCCTGGACAGATGACAAAGTCTGCTCCTGTTTTCACACTCGCTGACCTTATTCTTACCTTGTCCTGCTGAGGGAGCATGAACTAACAGCTTGTGATGCCAAAGAGAATGTGTGTATCCAGGCAGCATTCGACTCAAGATCGCAGCTTAAATAAGATGTCAGCCACATTTGAAGCCATCTCTCAGCTTTCAGTTATTCTGGTCCTCATACCAATTACAGCAGTGCACGCTAGAGCAGTGACCGCTGCTTTACATCTGTCAGGTGCAAAAAACAGCATGTTATCAGATAAGGAGAGATGTGGGATGAGGTTGAGGTCAGAGTGTAGTTTACCTCCTCTGCTACCTCCTCTGTTTAGATCTCAGATAACCTCTGTATCAGTGCTCAGTGAACTGAGTGTAACTCTGGATACGCTTGTCTCTAAATGCCGCTTTAGGGGACTGCCACCTTTAAGCAGCAAGACAAATAGATATTCACTGATGCATGGACTAAAAGAACACACACGCACACACACACAAACAAACCAACGAACAACATGTCACAGTTTGTTATCGTCCATGTCAGGAAACTGCTTTCATTGCAATTTACAGTGAAAGCTTCTTTTTTTATTTTCAGTTAGGCACAACAACCTACTTACAAGAGAATGAATAACAATCCACATACGCATCAGTACCTCTGGTTCCTATTGATTTATACCAGTAACATATAGCCATTATTGCATACTGATGTTGTTTGTAGATTTTGGTTTAAATTGTAAAGCAACTGTTTATGTCGACACTGATTTCTAAAGCTCTTTCTAAATAATCAAAAGGGGAGTTCATATTCATCAGATTGTGTTCATGGATGAACAAGTAGCCATGTGCAGTAGTAAAGCATGTTGAAGATGCAACCCATCGTGGTGCATCGTGATATGGAATCGAATAATTGACAGGATCATTGAATCGTGATTCCGGTGAAGCTGCACAGCGATCGTGTCTTTATGACTCAACAGCTTGTTAGTACCATAACTGGACTTTGACCTGCTGCTATCTCAGCCCAGTTTGAGGAATTCTTCCCTGACATGCTGTTTAGAAGTGGACTCTGGTGCTCTTGAAATGTTGATTGAAGACGTTCTCTCTATCCAAACACGTCTCTGTAGCTCTCAGTCGGTCCCTGACGAGAGGCGCGTGTCTGTCTCTAAGAAGAAACATTAGCTCTCTCTCTCTCTCTCTCTCTCTCTCTTTGTCTCTTCGCTCTCACTCGTGTAATCTTGTGTGGAGACAGCGAGCAGATGTGAGGCGGGACTGTCCTGTCAAACAGAACATGGGACAAGGCCACATGTTAGCCCAGTGATGCTTTCCACCACATCTGTGTTACTGCAGAGTCTATGTGTGCATGATGGTAGTCTGTATGTCAGGACTACAATAGTGTATCATCTTTCCCACCTTTGAGTCTTCATCTGCATTAAAGGCATGGCAGCCCCACCCGCCCTCCTCTCTTTGTAGTGGTCTTGTTCAGCCACTTCCTAGCTGACTACCACTAAGCAGTAAGTAGGAGGGTACTGAGGGCAAACTCTTAGTTATAGACTGCAGTGATTCTCAACTGGTGGGTCGGGACCCATAGGTGGGTCGCGGTGCTGGCGTGTGCCTGGAAAAAACCTGGTGTCGAATAGTTTGTCAAGCGCTTTAAAACAAAACAAAACACATGTTTCTTTTGTTCAGTTTGTTGCATCCGTCAGATGTTTCGCATCGTCTGAGCTACAAAACATTTGATGGAAGCTGCAAACTGCAATCTGAGATTTAGGTCGCAGCTTTTCAGAGAGGAGTTGGTGGTGGGTCCTGAGGCTAGACGAGTTGAAAACTACTGATGTAGAATAAAGGTACTGATAGGAGCTAAATAATGACTAATAAGCCAGTATCCTACTAATTAGCATGCTAATAAACAACTAGTTAATGTTAAATATTGTGACTTTAATTTCCAGTGTTACCAAAAATACATTAATAAAAAAGAAACATAGAGGCCACACAGGTACTTTGTCACGATTCTATTTTAAGGACTGTTACTGACACAGTCAGAATCCTGCAGATAGCAGAATGAATAATACATCCTGTAGCTTTTACTGGAACTGCAAATGGTTCAACGGTGCATTATGCAGTGATTTGATTTGTAATTGTTTTAGTTGAAGTTTGAGCGCACAACCAAAGCCCAGCTAAATGTTCCCTAGTTCTTATCTAATTTTCTCACCTCAACCTCTCTCCGCTGAGTTTAACCATCTCATCCACATGTAACTTTTTCTTTGTCTCGTTGCTATTTTTAATACATTTGGGAAGGGACACTTTTTCATGGGATGTCTTGCTGGATGAGACATTTAAGAGTTTCCTCAGATTAACAAGTGCTCCTTCTTTGCTGTCATTACTAAAAAATCTGCGTAAGGTTTTGTCCGTTTTGTCTTTGTAGGTTTTATAGTCTATCCCCACTTTAACAACGTTCCCTTGAGCTGCTGTATTTTCAGTCTATTACAGATTTGGAAAGTCCAGAACTGTTGTTTTGCACAGTTTGTTTTTTCCCTTTCATGACTTCTCGACCGATAACAATAGAATCATCCTGTTTCTTTAAGAAATAAATCCTGCTTTTACTTTGTAAGCTCTGGTCTTCCTGTGGGCTCTAAGCATAGACTGTAACATAGACGTCGTCTCAGTGACTTCAGACGTAAAAAGTTATTTGTATAGATTTTTTATTTGTACCTGGCAGGAATCTTTATTTCTGCTTTAAAAGTGGACATTCTTATGTTTTTGAGTCAGCCTCATGTGGGCACTCAAGGAACTGCAGTTTTTTTTGCACTTGCACTTGGTTTCATTTTTACAACGCTGGAAGGTTGCTGCTTGAATCTAACCAGAGGAGCACATGTTTGCCTTTCTTAAGACTCTGTTTCACAATGTAAGCATTGGCCATTACACCCACCTCAGGCTGTGTGACCCCCCCCCCCTCCTGACCCCCACTGAGCTAACTCACAGCCACATTGTCGACAGCCTGCACGGCCCCACCTCAGCCCACATGAAACAGACATAACACCACTAATCACATTAATACCCCAATCTCTCTGCTGGGCGACACCACCACCAAAGAAAAAAAGAAGAAGAAGCCGTGCTTGCTTTTTGAAGCAAAAGGCCTGCGTATGGTCAAGATTTTAATCTAGCCCTCTCTTTAATTTATGGAGCATTTACTGGTGAATTTGAACCAGACCTCGCCGTCACTGCTTTCAATAAAAGACATGAAGAGGAGGAGGAGGAGGAGGAAGTCTTCATCCGGCTAAAAGCCTGAGCCGCAGTGGTTTTTCTTCAGCTAGTTTTGATCTCTGGAGTGTGCACATGCTCTTCATCTTGTAGGGCTACTTTTATTCCTGGCAACATCTTATCAGATGAGCTTCCTCTGAGCCTCCCGTTTTGAGACTCAGCCATGCACGGCTGCTGACTGTCAGTGAGTGTGTGGCCCCCATGGGTCTATATATATATGTGTGTGTATGTGTGTGTGTGTGTGTGTGTTGACCATGTGGAACTATCTTTGTCTTATCTGCAGTCTGCACAAGCCCACAAAACTTTATCATCCTAAAGTTCCCATGGCGGTGATGGGCTTTTGTCTGAGCTTGATCTTTATATTGTATCCCACCTTCCCCCCCCCCCCCCCAACCCTCATCTTCTAAACTTTCCAACTGTGTTTTTCCCTTCTCTTTTGATTGAACCGATTCTTACATTCTGTACTTGTTTCTTTTGTCCCTTCTTCTTATCAGTCCCCTCCATGCGGTCTGCTTTGCTCTGGCCTGTGGAGTTCCCGGAGTCACTCTGCTCACGCTGGCAGTAAACCCCCTCACGGGCCTCCTGGGCGCCCTCAACATCTTCCTCTACACCTGCTGCTACACCCCACTCAAGAGGCTCAGCATCACCAACACCTGGGTGGGAGCCCTGGTGGGTGCGATTCCTCCTGTCATGGGCTGGACGGCTGCCACAGGTTGTCTGGAGCCAGGTACGACTCACAATGTCAGACACCAGGAAGTCACAGTACCAGATTTTTTTGAACCAGGCCCCCCAAGTAAGATGACGAAAACAGCAGGTTATTATCAGGAAAATTCACCGCAGGGTAGCGTGTGAGGTGATGAGGTTTATATCCAACCTTGTGCATGTGAAGCTGCTTTATACTCTTTGTTGATACTATGAAAACACATCCAAATACTCCAAATAACGTTGATATGAAAGGTAGAATTCTTGTAAAGCTAAAGCCTCTTCAGAGGACGTGTCGAGCTTCAGTTATAGACGTACTCATTGATCGCTATGGAAAGATAAAGATGTTACTTTAAATCCCAAAGTTCACACAACTTTGATTCCAGCACTTGGCCTTTAATTCTGCTTGCTGAGTGTGAATTAGAGGCGCAGCACATTAGTTTAAGTCCTTCACACTCGCTTCATTAATCCTCTCCCTCCCCTCCCCTCCCCCCCCTTACCTCCTCCAGGTGCCTTGTTGCTGGGTGGTTTACTGTACAGCTGGCAGTTCCCCCACTTCAACGCCCTCAGCTGGAACCTGAGGGAAGACTACTCCCGCGGCGGCTACCGCATGATGTCCGTCACCCACCCGGCGATGTGCAAGCGGGTGGCCCTGCGTCACAGCGTGGGTCTGATCGGCCTGTCCTCCCTAGCCCCCGTTTTGGACGTCACCACCTGGACCTTCCCCGTCATCTCCCTCCCCATCAACCTGTACATCAGCTACCTGGCCTTCAACTTCTACCGCAAGGGAGACCGCAGCAGCGCCCGCAAGCTGTTCTTCTGCAGCCTGTGGCACCTGCCCATGCTGCTGCTGCTGGCGCTCACTTGTAAGAAGCCCCGCAAAGATGCAGAGGATCCAGCTCTACCTCCAGCTCCTATACCCATGACACTGCAAAGCTAGTTAGCCTCACACAGTAGATAGAGACCCCTCGGTTTAACCACTTGATGTTCTCAGAGCAGCTGGATGATGGACACATTATTTAATCTGCGTTTAATTGAACCCAGAGGTGCTCGGTGCACATCAGGAAATGAGACGGAAATGATCGGATCAAAATTAACAGACAACACAGAATTATTACATCAGGTTGTAATCATTTCACCACTCACTGTATATATTCTGTATTTATTTATGTAGGGGTCCAGCTGTTCCCTCTCCATGTTGTACACGACTGATGTTAAATGACCTTGTACAGTGTAAATTGCTCCTCTGATTTCTCACATGGAAACTCTGTCTGCAGACCGTGCATTGTATAAATGCAACACAGAGGAAGAGAATCTGACTATCAAAGTTAGGGCTGCACCTGACTACCTATTACCAGTTCAGCGCCACACAGAACTCCAGTGTAAGTCTACTCAAATCTTCTCCTGACTCATGTTTATTGATGAGCAAAGGCTGTCCACCAGGCATTTAAAATATTCTGCCAAGTGGGGTTCTCGTTGTTGGATATTGAACCTGATAATGGATTCAGCAGCTCAGCCCCCAGTCCCCTAAAACACACTGCCAAAGAGCATCAGAAAAATCACAGATTTCAATGTGACTCTGCTTCTTTGAGTAGTTCTATCAGTTACATTCACTGCGTTTGTTCCTTTTCGGGGAGGAGGGGACTGACCTGGATAAATCGGCTTACTGTAAAACCTCGTGAAAGAGAAACAGCAGGGAGACTTAACCGCAAAACATTCTCGCTGCAGCTCGGCTCACAGCCCCTCCTGACGTCCTGAGCCGACTGAAGGTATCAAAGATGTTTGATTGCTTAATTGAGTGTTTTGTTTTGTTTTTTTTAAACCAGTTTTGATTAACTGGTCAGCTTTTTTTAGGAGGGAAATTGCCTCCTGGTGGAAAAAGTTTGTGAACAATGAAACTTTGCCTGTCAGGCTGTCGATTTAGAACTAACACAAAACGCGAGCGTACTCTGGGTCTTCTCCACTTCTTCTTCCAATCATGGACTTTTAGGGGACAGCCCTAATGGAAATGTTATGTTTTCAGAGTTTACATATAGGACACCCATATAAACTTACTGTGGAGAAGCTATTGTTTGAAAGTGACCTCAGCCCTGTTACTTAAGTTCGGAAGTTCGGATGCCTCATTGTATTTGTGCTGCTCTGCAAACGCTCTGATGGCTCATTTATCTAATGCAACACGGTTAATTCAACACGGTTGTGACGCACCAAAACAAAGGGGGGATACTTAACCTCTGTGAGAAACACAGCGGGGAATATTCTCTTAACAATAAAAACACGTCATGATTGTGATTCTGTCTTCTGTGTCATCATTTACTCTCCGATGTTTGCACTTAAAAGTCTATTTAAAAGTCATCAGTTGTGCGGCGTATGGTGGACACACACACACACACACACACACCTCCAACACGCCTCGTTAGGCGGCGGTGCAGGCTCCACCTAATATTTGGATTTAAGTTTCAATTAAAGCCTTAGTGGATCTGCTGCCTTTAAGCACCAGGGCCACCTCTGCACCTGTCACTCAACATGTGCGCCCCTTCCGCCCTTTACCCCTAGTTTTGGTATTTGGTTACATTTCTATCACCGCACTCGCAGAAACAAGCGGCCCCTTTCCCCCCCCCCTCTCGCTGCCATCCTCCCTCCATAAAAAGAGGGGGGGTGAGGGATTTAGCCAAGGCCGGGAGACCTGAAACAGGCTTCGACATCCTCGTAAAGTGTCCGACCGGATATCAGAGGGTGAAAGGCGAGCGATGGAGCCAGCTGTTACAGTCAGGAGAAAACACACACATGTACACCCAAACCTGCACTTGGATTGAATGTCGGATACAAAACCTCACGGATCAGTGTGTGACGGTCTGTCCTGGTTTACGACATCCGCTCCTGCAGGGACCCGGTGGTGGCTTTTGGTGCTGTCTGGTCCCGTCAGCCAGAAAGTACAACTTCACTCCATTTTTCAGATTTCTTCAGGGTTGCACTTTTGTTAAATATCACTTCTGATGCGGATATGGTTGAGCTTAAAAATATATCTTAGTCGTGAGTGATCGGCCTGAAGCTGAGTGGTGTCTTTGAGCTGCTGAAAGTTTAGTTAAAAAATGTCATGGAAGTTATTCAGGAACTTAAAGAAATTCAGATGTGTCTCAAAAGTTTTAGGACAAAGTGGCTTTTTTTTTTTTTTTTTTTAAAGGCCCTCTCTGCTCTAAAATGTGTTTTCCATTTTTGCAAATTCACTTAGATGCTTGAGCCTTATTTTCCAGAATTGTACCCTGATGAAGTCGATTTAAATCTAAGATCATGTTGCATATCTACGGTCAGAAATTTGTGACATCACATCTACTTTTGGAAGCCGGGAATGGCGAGATACACAAGTGCAAAATGGAAACTTGAAACCTTTACTGCACAAAGAATGGACTTTAAAGTAAAGTTGGAAACAGCCTTCGGTCACATAATTAAACTTCTGAAAAATTAAAGATTAGCATATTTAGTCTTTTTTTTAGTAAAGCTAAAGAAATAAAAAAAAATATATTTTTTTTGTGAGACACAAACTTATTCAAGCACTTTTATATGGACATTGAATTCACTTCATTTGACAGGGACGGTGTCATTTAATATAAGAGTATTAAACTTATCTACTTCACAGAGTAGTTTTACTATTTTCTAACTGTTGTCCCTTGTTGAAATATAATTCAGTGTTTTAGTCAATTATGCATTAAGACCATAAAGTTCTGCAAGGCACCATTTATCACCTAACATTAAAGAACAATTCAAGACTTTTTTATTTTGCTAATTCATGAACACCATTTCTTACTTTTCTCCTTTATTTAACTTCCTTCCATGCATTTAAAAAAACACTGAGGTCTCTCTCTTTCCCTTTGCTAATATCAGGTCATTAAATCACTCGTGTTATTCGCCGGTTCAGAGTCTGAGTTTTAACGCCAGAGTCAACAAAGTGAAGAGTAAAACATATGATTGTGTAAACAGGAGACGGTCCCCCGAACAGCCCCGGAGCCACAGCTTTTAATGTCCTCACTTCACAGGAGGAAATACAGGACAAGAGCTCCGATTCCTCCGAACCCAGCTCTGAAATCTCAGGATGACGGATGACCTCTGGCCTCTCTTCAAAAAGGTTGGTGGTTGCAAAATAGAACCCAAAGAGCTGCAGTGTAATCGTAAAGCAATATTTAGACTGAAAACTGTACAAGCCGAAGAGTAGGCTGAAAGTTTCCTTACAGGAATAGTAGAGTGAAAGTTTGATTTGTAGGAAAGTTAAACTATCGAACTTCAACAAGTCGTCCTACTTGGGATTTTTCTGATTAACAAAATAGACCATTCAAACCAAACCTCATTTAAAAAAATCACATTTTTACAGTTCATTCATGTTGCGGTTTTTTTTTTCACATAATGTCGTCATCCAGTGTTATTATAATGACGCAGGACGTAATTCGGCGTCACTTTAAACTGTGTTAACTGCAGCCAAAAACTGGGAAAGCAGAAGCCTACATGTTCAAATGCTTTATATAACAAAAAAAACATCTAAGTGTGCTTCATGGTGTGTTCACGTTCAGTCTATCTGTTCGTTTTGAAAACACAGCCTGTCAGTGAGTCTTGTTTCATGCAGCGGCTGAAGCTCCCGGGATTTAAATTACAGGACTGATGTGACTCATCGACAACTCTCATTAAAGATTCACTGAAGTTTTGTTTTCTTTTTATTTTCTTGAGTTTTAAATAAAGTGCGCATTTCTTATGTTAAGTTTCTCAAACAGAAGTTTTAAATGTCTCTTAGTGTGCTCTGAGATTTTTTTTTTAAATGTGAGTGTGGGCTGTTTGAAGCCAAAAATACAAAAAGTTAAAGAGAGTTAAATCCATTTAGTTTCATTTAGAGGGTTAACTTTATACAGCCTCAACCTTGTACAGACTCAATATGTCATGATTAAGAGGATAACTTTAATAATTAGGCTATTTAAAAGAAAAAGAAAAAAGGCATTAATAGGCTACATGCATGCTGAACTAATTATTAGATTTATAAAGGTGCCTCTTGTGCTAATATGGGCTTCCTCTATTGGCATTAATAACACAACAAACCCGTGGAGAGTATTACTTAATTAATTATTATTATAGCGTTATTATAAAAGGAGCAGAGGTTTCTCTGTCTTTAAAAACATTGAACCTGTTGAAATCATTTCATATGTAATGACAGTTTCCTTCACGTGTGCCACGTGCTCACGTGAGACTTTACTGTTGAATTATTAAACTGCTGCAGAAGTTCAGAGAGTGACTTTATAACCATGTTAAAATCTATTCAATCAGGTTACATCACATCATGTTGAATAAAAAGTTTGAAAATGAATACAAACGCATTCAAAGTTGCTCTTCTTTGTGGTTCATTTGCCATTCATGATTATGAAAAATATATTCATGAATTCACTTTTATTTTAAAAGTTTTCCCAAGGGTGACTTTCAGCATTTAGGAGTAGGTCAATTAATTATGAATTGCTGTTTAATTAATTTGTATATTTAACACAATTACACGTTTTGATTTGGGATTATTTTTAGTTTTAGTTTCCAATCATTTTACAAGAAAACAGCCTTTACTAACAATGTGTGAACTCCAGGAGTGTCAAACAAACTTATTATTCACAGAGTCTGTTTTCTGGACTCAAATTGGATATTAAAAATTGTGGGTATTATTTTTCCTAACACATCCGTATTTTTAAATCTTCTTATAAACTAAATTTAAAGATGAATTTATTAATTCCATAATAAAAAAAAATAAAAAAATGGCACAAAAGGTCTTAAATGTGTTTTTAACTTCGGGATAAAACTGCTACAATCAGTTAAAGTCGTCTAAAGTGCTTTGAACGATTTGACAGCGACTCTAGAAACGCGGCTTAATTGGCTTCTTCGCCTCATAAGAAAAGTTTTCCAAACTCTCAGCACACTGAGGCTCCCACGGCCGGGACCGCCCACTTCTGCCTCTGATTGGTCGGCTTCTATCAACACATTAACTCTCCGTGCTGCTATTGGCTGCTGCTGCCGTCACTCCCGCGCGTGTGTCTGTATAAGGTCCCGTGCTCCAGCGGCAACTTTAACAAACCTGAGATGAGCCCGGAGCCGCACCGTGCTGCACATTTCCCACTTTTAAGCGACAAATATGACTGAAAAGTCCTCCATGCCTTTTCATTCCTGGATGTATGATGCTTCTCGGGTTTATTTAGAGTAGTTTTTTGTTGTTTTTATTTGTCATTTTGTATTTATTTTTACGCGTCAGGTGAGCATGTGTTTCATTCTGCGGGGATTGCCGAGGTGCCACCCGGAGTGAGTCGGGCGACATGCGCCGCTGGGAGATGATTTTTAACCGACAGGCTTATGGAATATAGCCCGGTTTGTCACAGCCTGTATGCCCCCTGGTCCAGCCCCGTGAAGAAGAAACTACTCCTCCTCAGCATCATGTTTTTCATCTGGGTTTACATGCTGTACTCCTGCGTGGGCTACTGCTCCACCATGCCCAGTTTGGTGGTGGACGGTTACCGGGGCAAGGAGACCGGTTCCGGGCTGGGTAAGAGGACAGAGAGCGGCAGGACGGACCTGGTGTCCAGACTGCTCGCGAAGCCGCAGCCGTGGGAGGATATAGAGAGCGACTACGAGGAGCCGTCCATCAGGACCGCCGCGTCCAGGGACCTGCTCAATAACGAGCTGGACACGGACTGGGAGGAGATGCGGGACGACCTGCGGGGCGAGCAGCAGAGAGCCCCGGAGCCCAGCGCCATGTCCAGCTTCTCCAACGGCTCCGGGAGCAAGAAGCTGCCGCAGGCGATCATCATCGGGGTGAAGAAAGGGGGGACCCGGGCCCTGCTGGAGTTTCTCCGGGTTCATCCGGACATCAGGGCCGTGGGAGCGGAGCCGCACTTCTTCGACCGAAACTATGACAACGGACTGGAGTGGTACAGGTAAATAAACAACTTATTTCATGCCTAACACATGTGGAGGATAATTCAATTTGTTGAGAAAACAAAATGTGAAGACGTGAGTTATTATAAGGCGTCTTAATAAAATAGATTTGTTGGAGAGTTGGCGATGAGACGCAGATGAAGGAGAATGATTTTATCGATCACTGCGATATTTATCGAGGGGGGAAAATACACTTTTTTTTTTAAAATTAATTTGAGTTTATTTGCTGTCATTTTAAAGAATTTATAGATTTCTTTATGAATTCCTTCATCGTGGGATTAACCCACTGACTCTCTGCAAACTGCTTCACGAGAACAACAATTTCAACATAAGGCTAATTAATATTTCCTAATTTAAAAAAATAAATAAACATTCCCCCCCCTTCAGTGATTATTGACTAAACTTGGAGATTATTGCAAACGGAGCCTGTTCCTTCAAATAAACACGGTGACAAGTGATTCAGTGTTTCTGTCTGTTTACACACCCGGTTGATGACGCCTCCTTAATGAGCCTTTATTAGTTAATTGAAGGGATCTGATTGCAGTCATATATTAGTAATTAAAAGAGAGGAGTCTTTGTGACACTGAGTGTTTCCCGGTGATCACACACAGTGAGGGCTGCTCTGTTTCTGCGACGTGCAGTGATCTCTATTGGACGCAGTGCAACATTGCACCTTCACGGTGACGATCAGCAGAGTGAAACATTTTAAATTCAGCAGTTTTTCATTTTATGTTAAAACTGATTTCTGATTTTTTTTGTTTGTTTTGTTATGTGGAGCAGCTGCTGGTGTTGTTTGGACTTGTGCTGAATGAGCCATTGTTAGATTGTGGTGAGCGCCTGTGTGGGACAAAGTGATCACAAAATCACGGTTTCAACTTTGACACAACGTCGTGTAGAGTTTAAGAGTTGACGTGGACAAAAAAAAAAAGTTTGCAACAAATCTGCCAAATCCCAATGTCCCAAAATCCCAAAATGTAAGAAGATCCAAATGTGCGAGAATCTCCACCCTGCTCTTTCTGAAATGTTGAGAATCTAAAGAGCTAATAGTGTCTATAGAGCTGAGTGGGTTTAACCCGTGTGGATCATTGTCATGTGAATGGGCTCCACGGGCCTTACTGCCCACGCTGCAAAAAAAAAAACTGCATCTGCAAGACAAAGTGAGGATCCTTCTTAGAACAAATCCTGCAATAAAAACAGTTTAAAGTCTTCAGAGGTTTACAAACTCGTTATTTACATCACACAGTGTTCATACAAGGAGCTCTGAAGCTGTTATAAGCCTTTGATACTTCCATGTGTCATTTTAAAGACGTTTTGAATCCTGGCTTCACTTTTCAAAATGTGTTTGAGAAGCCTAATAATAATTATATCAGATGAATATGAGTGTTAGATCAGACTGCTAATAATCGTATTGTGACCCACAAACAAACAAAAGGGGGTTAGTTTATATCTTTGAATGAATGACTCGATCAATTTATTGATTTGCTACTGACTGGAATCCCACTGAAATTCTCTGTAATTATTTTCACATTTCTGGAGATTTTTCCTCCAATAAAACTCTCAAATATCAAAGTTTTTTTTTTTTTAGCTCGCTGAAGTTTTGTGCGAGTTTCAAAAAAGTTGAGTCTAATGTGGGGAAATTAGGGAAACATCTTCTGACGGATGATTAAATAAATAAAAAATAAAAAAGGGGGTTTGAAATTCAGTGCAGTTTTTTTTTCTACTCATTAAATATGCAAAACCCGGCAGAAGAGAGGCTCAACAATGTTCAGCAGAGGGAAACAGAAGAGGCGAGTGGGGGGAGGCAAGTGTTGGCAGTGTTCAGATTAAAGACACTGCTCCTTCATTTGGGCAAACTTTCCCCTGTGCTGGCTCTGAGAGAAACACAGATTTATCTTCAGGCCCATACTCAGTCCTTTTTTTTTTGTTTCTGGTATTTAACTAACTTCTTTGGATGGTGGTGGTGGGGTGGGGGTGGGGAGGGGGGGGGAGTCGTGGAAAAGTTGCTGTCTGCTACTTCTTAGGCCGTGAAATCTAATACATCTCCAGTCATGACTCAAGGTTTTTCTGCTGAGATAGAGTGGGAGCAGATTGTCTTTCATTTTTACTCTTTTCCTGCTGGGGCCAGAGAAATAACCTCATGTGCTTGGTTTCACACACACACACACACACACACACACACACACACACACACACACACACACACGCATACAGCACGACTAAAAAAAGAAACAATTGTGGAGCTTTGATTTAATTTCCCACTCACTTCAGCGGTGTGCAGCTCCAGATAATGTTTCTGATATGAGGAATGATATGCTGCGACGGGATATCTAAAGAGTGTGAAATCCATTGAAGAGTTTTCTCTCTCATGGAAGTGCTTTTAGAGACGTGTTTTAAAACCGTGAAAACTTCTTTAATGGATGAGTTTCTGCAAAGAAAAATGTTTGTTTCTGTGGGGGGGGAAAAAAAACCAGTTGATGCAAGCGGTGGAAGAGAAGTAGTGATTTTTATTTTATCCTGAGGGGAAGATGCACCTTTAGAAAAAAGAGAGCATGCATCATTCATCGCTGATCTTCCAAAGTTTCCCATTAGGAGAGAGAGAGGGAGCTGAAATGTTCCAGACGGAGGCAAAATTGCGTGGCATTGAAATCTATTCTGTGGGAATATGATCTGATCACAGCGAGGGTCGTATACGGAGGCGGTTACAGACATGTCTGTGTGTGTGTGTGTGTGTGTGTGTGTGTGTTTTTAAGTTGAGCAATTCCCCCTCATGTTTGTTCATTTGCTCAATCTCTCTCTCTCTCTCTCTTGGCCATCCACTTTTGTAACGAGCTTGCACCATCTTTCCCCTCGACGCACATTTAGAGGCGGAATTCCACCAAGTAAATGCGCCCATAGAGCGAGCAGAAAAGGACTTTTATGAGGGGGTGGGGTTGAGGGGGGGGGGGGGGGGGGGGAGAGAAAGTTTCAAATTGAATGGCGGTGGCGATAACAAGTCTTATTGTGGATTTCTGATGTACTTTGACAGTTTTTTATTTGTTGCCAAAGACAAACACATGATTCATGCTTTTGACCGAGGGGTCCTTGTATCAGGAGGTACACATTTTCCCAGTGAGGTCATGCATGACCCGGCCCCGAGGAACACACACACACACACACACATTAAAAGAGAGTCAGGGCTCAGTGGGACGGTGCGAACAGGAACACGGGTTCATTATTTCTCGTTTTGTGTTTGCACCTGTGTGGTGAAAGTCGACTATCAGACAGTTCTGAGTTAATGATTCTATGAAACGTTTAAAATCAATGAGTTGAGTCCTGAAAGGGTTAAAAGCTCATAAGCAGTATCTGTCAGAGGTCAGGGACAGCAGTGTGAGCATTTAAAAAAAAATCTTTTTAGCAAAAAACAAATGAAGTTATCTGGTATTTGTGCCATTAGAGATTTTGTAACAGGCACATTTTTTCAACATGTTTCAAAAGTATTAAAGTGACTTTAAACTAGGGGGGAGAAAAGGTGTAAAGGGCAGAAAGAAGAGTTTTCAAACACGGTGATAAAGTGGTGAATCAACAACAAAAAATTAAGTAAAAAAAAAAAATCAAGTATAGTCCACACACCAAAAACGACAAGTCACTTTCAGCACTATGACTTTTGCAATTTTTAAAGAAGTTTAAAGATGGAATAAAAGACAAGAAAAATCAGTTAAACAAACAAACAGAAGACAGTTTAGACCGAGTGTACAAACTACAAAATCTAAAGTTAAGGAGTTTTGAAACAAGGAATGAAAACTTTTAAAGAATCTGGCAGTGATTTGACTATTTTTGAAGATTTAAAAAAGTGAGTCCCTTAAGTGTAGTTTCAAAGTTAAATGTGTGATTTAAGACTTTTAGACTTCATGCTGAAGGCCTCGTGCTGAAATGAGCTCGAGAGAGTAGAAGTGCTTTGGAGTTTTTCTATGATTTTAAATACGTTAACCGTTCTCCAAAGATCGCCTCTAACAGTCTCTGAGTCCACACTGCCCTCCTGTCTTCACATTGTTAATGTATGTATTTCTCCATAATGCAGCTTGTCTGAGTGATGATGTCACGTCTCTGTGAGTCATGCAGTTAGTTTAAAGTTCTCCACCCCTGGGTGCAGACTTCATAAGCGAGAGGTGTTTTATTTACTCCTAACTCTTGTTGACTGCAGTCTCCATCCCGTGCTGTCAGTCTGCGGTGCGCGTCGCTCTGTTCATATTCCATTTAGTGCTATTGGCTATGAAGGGGCTTTGATATGTAATTACTGTTGTGTGGTTTTGCTGTCGTGTCGCGGGCTCCGCTCTGTGCTCGCTGTCAGGGCCCCGGCAGTGTCGACGCTGCTGCTCCTCCTCCCTCAGAGCGACTTTAGCATTAAACGAGGAGCTGAAAAACATATGGGTTGCTTGTGTTACACTTTGTTTATTTGTCATATTGTGAAGAACTGTCCAGATATTTGATGATTGGACATTTTCAAAGTTTCTTCTTCTCCCAATTTTTTTTTTTTGTTTTTTTTTTGTTTTTACTGTTCTGATAATGAACTGTACAAGTTAAAGGCAGCAACATACCGACCTATATAATCATCAGTCCGTATGTGATGTGGTCTGCGATCAAAGGTTAGGCTTCAGTCGCTGTAGAGAGAGAGAGACTGCTGGGATTGAATCGGCGCCGTGTCTGGGCAGGATGTGTCTCTACGGTCAACCTTTTGTGTGGAGGCCGTGATAAAACGCCGTGGAGGTGAACAGGCGTCAGTAAAGACACACAAGAAGGACAAGTGGAGCTTTGTTGAAAAAAAAAAAGGGGGCTCCCTTTAAAAAAAAAAAATCCATGTTCCACTATAAGAACAGTCTGCTTGGTTTGAAAGCTGGTATCTAAAGGCTGCTTCCCCCCCCCACCCCCCTGTGGAGCCAGGCTGCAGCCTCTCGCCCCGTCAGGGACAAGTTCTGGATGGGTGCACGTTCCTTTATCTGCTCGCTGCAGGGGTTGCTCCTAT